AATTTCTTTTATGAACATCTATTTGTTCGTCTTGCAGGCTTAAAGAAGAAGCAGCTTCTTGTTGATAAGCCTGATGATGATTTAGCTGTTGCTGGTTATGATCCTGTTGATGATTATGATTTTATGTAAGCACATACAGATCCGTATATTCCAGCATTGAAAGCGGATACTTCGATCACAAAAGTTCGAGAGTCCTTTGCTTCCATGTGCAATCTTTGGGCCATAATTATGTTATGGCTAAGTTGGGGAGGAATAGATGTCCATTAGAATAGCGTCAATTGCCAATTGAATTCACTTGGTTGCAAGTCTGCCTGTCGGGAGTCAGTTTTTGTATGCTTGCATAATTTTATAGCTTCACGCTGAGTTCTGCGATTGATTGATTGTGCAAACAAGTATTTGAGATTGCTTCCTAGATTGACAATGCAAACCAGTTCTCTCTTGAGAGCAACCATTTTTCAAACTGATTCTAATTTGGTTTATTTTTTACTTCTGTTTGAGTGTATTTACCTTCTCCAGAAGAACTAATGCAGGGAGAGGTAGTTTCAGAAGCTTTCTACTTGTGATTCAACGGTCCAACTCCTCCATACTAACAGCTATTTCGTACTTCGTATGACTCTGAGTGGTTACTTTCACCTATCTTTCTTGCATATTCGAGTCTCTCTAGCAAAACATTAAGAAATTCGGAACTATTGTGATTTATCCAACCTACATTTAATTCTATATACCTCCACTTCCCTAATAAACAACGGCTTAGTTCTCCATGGTTGCCATTTTAGAGCATCGATATTTGAACTAACCATTCTCAAAAGTCACTGACAAGCTTTATCCAATGAACTACCGGATCTCAAATAAGGAAAATTGTAAGCCATGTGAATGATTGAAGGCTAGACTAAAGCTCTGTTTGGCAAAAATAGTTGTGAAAGTAGTCGTTAATTGTCATAATAATTGAGATATGTACAAAAAAAGTTTAATAAAAAATAAGATAAATGAATGGTGCAAAAGTAAAATTGTTGCATTTAATCTGAAATAGAGGGAGTAAAGATCAATTCATTAATTTAATCGGTGATAATAAGTTCAACGCAGTGAAATGATTGAATAGAACGGTAAGGAGCTAAGTGGATAGGTTAGAAAGAATTATTACCTCCATCTCCTTTATCTCTTCCAATTTTTTTGTGCATCTTTTCTACCATGTATTTATTTTCATGATCATGAAGCAAAAAATGATTCCTTTCACTACATCTTACTCAAACCTTTTTCTTAGTGTAAATCTACTTTAGCACTAACACAAAAAAAAATAAAAAAAAAAAGAAGCCAAAAGTATGCAATTTGGACCCTAAAGCTTCGTCATGGTGGGCCAAGAACATTACAAAAATAAAACGATAGCAATCTAATGTCGTTTCATTCAGGTTTTAAAGTCAAGGTCAGATTTGACCATGAAAAGTGACTTTTAATTGGATGTCTTAAATCTGAACTCAGGTGTATGTTTTTCTCTCTCCTGTCACGTGAGTTACAGCCTGCTTAAGATGATTCCAGCCATTTTAAGCATTAACTGTTTTGAGTGCAGAAAGTTTTATAAAGCTGATATTCTTTCCTTGCTATAAAGCCAAATGCCCAAATTTGAATTATTTTCCATGATTACTGCAAGCTTTTTTATTTTTCTAAAGTTGCATTTTTATTACACGCAAGATTGATGATTGTAAATGTAGGGAATTTATCTTCACCAAACTATCATTGCTCTTGTTAACAGACTGTAGATGGTAATCATAAGTAAATCACCACGTAGAAGCATTATATTGATTTACGGATCGTCATTATATTAATAGGATTAATGAGACTTGTGTGAGTACAGGATGTTTGTAATGTCGTACAAAGGCGGAGAAATGAGAAATGGGAAGATTGAATATATCTTACTTTTAGTGGATGATTTTACATCTTCGTGTACTTAATCTTAAGTAGGTCTTTAGATTAGTTGGTTATCTTTCATGAAAACTTATTAGTTTAGTCTCGATATATAAGGATTACACTGATTTATAAGGAGATTTAAAATGAGCCATTAAGTTCAAATTTTGACAGGTTCCTTATCATATATTAAAAGTTCAAAGATAATTGGAGAAAACAAAATGATAAGCTATGCATAACAGCATAAGTCATGCAGAAGAACATGATAAAAAAAATTTAATCAAGTGTAGGCTTTCTTTGGCAAGATTTTGTGTAAATGCACAAAGCTATCAACTTAATTGTATGTACATCATGATCATCGAGTATATGTTCTTGAACCTAAACTATAATCATAATTAAATACCTACAAGATCATTATTCATTGATCGTACATCTTATAAACTTTTGGTATATGTTTACCATATATTATCCATGTAAATTTTTTTCATCTTGTTCCAACCTCTTATCCTTAATTATATTCGCCACACACACTTTCTAGCTATTTCATCTATTCCTTTCTCACGTGTGCACTATACCCAAACTAAATGAAAGATCATTAATTTCATAAATCCTTAATTAAAACAAATACAATTCTTAAAAACAAAGCTAAATGAAGCTCGGTCAAAATTGAACGTGGCGAACTGGCGGTGGTCCTAACTCATAAACTATGAAGCCAAACCGACATTTTTATGATAAGCAGGGAACCAAATGAGGTAACTTAGTTTTAAAATATCGAGAGTTTTGTTGTGTAAATTGGCATACAACTTCGTTGGCATTTGCACGTTTGTGATTAGCTGCTACTGCAACAACAATGAATAGGAAACATGCATCAATAAAGCGTAATGTATAATCACATTCTAGGAGTATTAAATTAATATAATCATACAAATAATATGATTTGACGACCCAAAAGTAGTAATTCATCGCTTTTTTGGGTCCAACATCTCACTTACAAACTCATGATTATGCTTGTTGCAAATGTGTGTATGATGTATAAAGTGTAGCACTAGTACTAGTTTGCTGCTGTAATATACATCAAGATTCAATTTTGTCTAGATTATTTGATATAAGTATCTTAATTATGTTGTGATCTTATTTAAAAAAAAGTAATGTACATCTTTAAGAGAGTTATAGCTAACTCATATCTCTTGAGTACAATCAGTACATGTATAACTGCTAATCTGTTATATAGGTAGATCGTAGATGATTTGTGTTATCGCATATACTAATTCAATCTCATTTTAAAATAGGTTGAACTTTTCAAGGTGTAATTTGGCATACAATCACCTTAAGATGTTAACTTTAGATTTCGACCCATACAATAGGAAAAGACAACATTATACACCCTAAAGCATTAGAGAATGATATTCAAGATGTTAGATCGAGGAAATCTCGTTTAAATTGTCGTCCTCTAAATATACACGACAGTACATTATAGCTCTACATTGACAAATTTACATTGTAACATACATACTTTGTGTGATAACTGCAAGCTATTTGACGCTTACAATTATCACTTTGTCGTAATTAACTTCATTATTACCTGTCAAAAGCCAAGTAGATAGAGTAATCTAAATGTCTTCAAATTATTCTATTCAATTCCTTTGGTCAAAATAGTCCCCAATTTTTAAGCCAACTAAAACATTTGTGCAATCTACTAAGGGTTTATTTGGTTCGGATAATGGAAACAGAATAGAAAGGAAACAAATAAGAGGGGAGAAAGAAATCATTTAATTATTACCTTTTCATTTGTTTGGTTTGACCATGGAAAGAAATTGGTTAAACTTTACTCCCTTTGTTTGTTTTTGAGGAGGGTAAGGGTATTTGTTGTTAAAGGACCAACTCAACCAAAACCTTAAGCTGATGGTTGAGGCCTAAGATTATAATTTTATACTCTATCACGCCCCCTCACACGAGAGCCCGTTGGGCTTGAAGTGTGGATGCATCATGCGCCCTCCTCACACCCAGCGCTTAATATTCCACTTAAAGGTGGGGGGTGGATGAGATTCGGACCCGTGACCTCTATGTCACGTTGGCTTCGATACCATGTTAAAGGCCCAACTCAACCAAAAACTTAAGCTGATGGTTGAGACCCAAGATTATGTTTTTATACTCTATCATTTGTTACCCTAAGTTTTTTTAGAGGTAACAAATGAGAGGTAACTATTACCCTTAGGTAATGGTAATTGTTACCTAGCCTTTTAACCAAACATTCGATAAAGATATTGGTTTAATCAAATCCGTTTCCAATCCAAAAAAAATACACTAACCAAACATGCTCTAAGCAAATTAACGCCAAATATAAAGCATACTAGTATATATAATACTTGCACTAACCACCATGGGGCATCACACCAAGACCATCTCAAATAGTCAAAGTTTCATGAAACGGCTGATACACCCTAGACAAGTATACATACACCCCCTTATTTTTTGGGGTTACCCAAAATATTAATACTTTATTAAACCTCACTTACACCAACCGAAAATTTGCCTTTCTCTACGTCTTAATTCTCCCCCAACAATTGCAATAATCAACGGCCCATCTATAGTCAAAGAAAACAATATTAGAAAATAATTTTACGCACGCGAAATCTAATATCATTTCCAAAATTTGAGAATCGTCCTCTATTATATATACATAGAGACATAGTAGGTACATCTAAGGAAAATGTTTAGCAAAAACTGTCGAATGAACAAAAATAAATACTCCCTCTGTCTCATAATATATAATACAGTCAAACATTGTATACATATCAATGCATTAGTTTGACTTTATTTTTATATAATTAAATATTAATGAAAATTATTTTAAAAATTGTATTATGAAACTTTATATTAAAACCTATCTAACGACATATTTTATGATAAAAATATTTTTATTAAGTTAGTAAAAAAATATGGTCAAACCTAATATATAAATAGTAAAAAAAAGTCCAACGTTTCATGTATTATGGGACTAAGGAAATATATCCTTAAGTATGCATAATAATACAGTATAATAATAATAAGGTTTGGGCTTAGATATAATAATAAGGTTTGGGCTTAGATATGCGCGCTTAGATGCACGAGTGTAGTGGAGCATCCCCCCACATTAACCGCATCATTTTCTTCTCCCTTGTTTGCTTCCTTATATTAATAATCCTTTTTATTGTTACAAAGCATACTTTAATTATTCTATTATAATATCTCCTTCTTCCCTTAAACCTCACTCAATCCTCTTTTCCTCCCTCTAATTTCTTTCTTTTTTTTTTTAATTATTGAAATAATATTATTTTTATAATAGGATTTTGTCCTAGCTTTTTTGCTCTTTGTTTTTGCTTTTTGGTGTGGTATATATATGCATGTCTTACACAAGTGGACATGTATTCAAATTTCAAGGGTTTTTGCAATCAAATTCTAAAAGGTTGGTATGCAATAGAAAAGCATCTATTTCTCTTAAATTACATGTGTTCCACTCATTCTTCTTCATTGTATAGATGTTTTCATTCTAATAATGTTAAGATTTTTTATGGGTTTTGTTTTTGTTAGCAACTTCTAATAGGTAGATTTTTTTTTGCCAACAAAACATGCATTAGTTTCTCCAACATGGGTACCTCTCATTTTCATATCGCGAAAACAATCTATGTGAATTCCTTAAAAAATTTCGTACAATTTCTTTATTTGATAGTGCATCCTACCACTTAATCCACTCTCACAAAAACTTTTGAAACCTTCAAATTTTAGTTATAAAATCATTTGGTGAAATCAAATCTGACTTTTGGTATAGTTTCAAATGACATCTAATTAAATTGTATTTGAATTTTCTTTGGCAGGAAACAGAAAGCTGGCATAAGTAATTTCCTAGGAAATTCTTGATATTTTTCAACTAGAAAAACATTAGAAAAATGGAGAAAGCAGGTCAAAATCTAAGTTGGAAGAAGAGCAAAATAAATGGTTTAGGAGAAGTAGAAGGTTTAGAAGAAGAGCTAAAACAAGCTAAATCACTACCATTAGTTGTTCAACCACAAACACCGAAAGAGCCAATGGAATTCTTGTCAAGATCATGGAGTGTATCAGCTGAAGAAATTTCAAAGGCACTTGCTAATAAACACAAGCATTTTCTACTTGATAAGCATCTCATTGACAGCCCTTCTTTCATTTCAGAACCATCACTCAGTTCACCTCCTCATATTGTAAGTTCTGCTTTTTTTTTTTTTTTTTTTTACTATTCTTGTATCTTCATGTTGGATGTTAAGCTTTTCGTGTTGTTGTTGTTGTTGTTTTTGTCGTCTTTTTTCTCTAGTTGTGTCTTATGTTACACTACTAATTAACAGTATGATGCTAAGCATTCAGATCAGAAAACATGGTAGATGTTAACACATTTAAGAGTTTGATGAGGATATTTCTGAAATCAGAGTCTGAAATATTTTGGGTTTTGAAAAAAAGTCAATTTTACTGGTTTTTTCCATAATTATACTTCTGCTGTACATCCTACTGCTACTTTCTTTCAGTGTTTTTCAATGTCTGTTTTGTTTGATTCAGAGAGCGCGAAAATTTTTAGGTGTTAATCTTTTTTGTAACTAAAACTGATCAGGTTGATAAATCGAAGAATAATCCTAACCACCGGCGAATGGGGGGTATAGGAAAGTGGTTTCATCACCACAAGGACTCGAAATCAAATCTCAACTCGTTTAGGAAAAAGGACAGGGCAAGAGCAGAGAATGCCCATATGCACGCTGCGCTCTCAATTGCAGGCCTAGCAGCAGCACTTGCTGCTGTTGCGGCGCCTGATGATTCCTCATCAGTCTCCAAAATGAGCAGGGCAATTGCATCAGCTACTGAGCTCTTAGCATCCCATTGCATTGAGATTGCTGAGCAGGCAGGAGCTGATCATGATCGTGTCGCATCAGCTGTCAGATCAGCTGTTGATATTCAGAGCCCTGGTGATCTGATGACTCTGACAGCAGCTGCTGCAACTGGTAAAATTATTTATACTATTTCGAGTGATTAAATTTTCGTGTGTTGTGTTCTGTTCAGCTATGAATTGGAATTTTTGTAATAGATTCAAGCCTTTTGTTCTTGGTCCTAATTGCAGCATTAAGAGCAGAAGCAGCATTAAGGTCAAGGTTGCCAAAAGATGCAAAGCGGAATGCTGCTATCAGTCCCTACGATAAAGGATTAGGCGATGCCAATAGCGTCGATCCTTACCACAGTGAAACCGAAGAGCCAAAATTCCCCTGCATTGGTGAACTAATGCAGCACTCAAAGAAAGGTATGTCTCAGCTATTGTCACGATTATGAGAATTAATCAATAATGGATACAAGTTTGATTTAATTACTGTTTTAACCAAGTCTGATTAGCAATAGATATCTTCATTGACTAACATGGACTAATGGACATGTTGCCCATGAACTAGTACCTGAATAAAGTCTAAGTCGGCTACATGTCAACTTAGAGGGTTGGTGACTTGTTGTAAACCATAATAATTCAGCACAATTTTTAATTGAAAAATCATTCTGATTCAAACATGCATGACTACCCTCCATATCATTGAGATCATATTACAACTTATATATAGGATTTAATAATATGATTAATTATCAATAGAATAGACAGATCATAAGTTGGTTTATCCAAATTCTGCTCAATATTAAAATTTGCGCGTTTTAATTTTCAGGCGGGTTAAGATGGAAGCAAGTCACAGTTTACATCAACAAAAAATCTCAGGTATACACAATTTCCTGAAATGACAGCAGAATTGAGCATTTTCATCAGTTTCATTCTGACATTAACTCTAATAAACAGGTCATACTTAAATTAAAAAGCAAGCATGTAGGAGGTGCTTTCTCAAAGAAGGACAAATGTAAGTTTAACCATTACCTCCAATATCAAGATCTCTTCCAAATTAACAACTGAAATCATGTGTTAAATCGAGTTATTTTGTCGTAACAGGTCTAGTCTATGAAGTTTGTGATCAGATCTCAACATGGCCCTTCAGAAAAGAAAGGGAAAATTTAGAGGCTTATTTTGGACTTAAGACAGCACAAGGGTTTTTGGAGTTCAAGTGCAAGAACAAAGTCCACAAGCAGCAATGGGTTGATGGGATTCAAAGTATGCTAGATAAAGTATGTTGTATTGAAGACATTGACAGCTCGTTGCAGCGTATTAATGTCAAATAAGAATTCTTAGTTGATTTTCTGTATGTGCATAAAGATCAGGGATTTTGGTAATATGATGGAACCTAATGTTACATATTACTGATAGAGAAAGGGGGAGGGTTAAGGGTGGCATATTGTACTGAAATAACTGAAATGTACTTGGTACAGTACCAACAGCCACAGGCAATGTTCAAAGGAACTATGTAAATCAGTTATAAATGCTTTTTCTCATATTATATTTTTGTCGCATTGTATATATTTTCTATCCTGCCTCAGCCGCCATACCATAAACTTAAGAAACCATCTCTCCATAAGAGTTCTACTAACCTTTATTTTATTCTTCATAACAGTCAAGGGAAAAGGAAGGGGAGGCCGGAGAAAGAAAAGGAGCTATGAAAATGGATGGTCTTGTAATTCTCTTCCAAATTTATTAGAAGTGGAAAGAAAATGAATCCCTCTAATGCCCTTCCAAACTTGTTGCCATTTATCTATACAAACAAAGAAATCCCCTTCCCTCTGTAGTCTCTATTGTGACACGCAACAACATCAGAGCTTTGATCACAAATATGGGGTCGATTGTTCAGACTTCAGACCAAGATGCCATCCACTCACTTGAATGTCTCTACTCACCTCAACCCTAACCAAATTCCAGCGCACTATGATCTTAGAAACCCAAGTTTTCCATGACCTATTTTACACAATTTATCCAAGTAATCTTTAATTTCCCTCAATTTCTTAGATGCTCCCATTGTTCTCATTCTTTCCATTCTCCAAGTGTATGCCTTGTGATGTTGGTATCAGAAATGTCCAAATCCCTGTAGCCAGTTCTCCATCTGAATATATGTATCTACTACTCTGACCCTATTGCGGATCTCTTCAATTTTGATTCCATTTTTTTGTTTTATTACCACTCATTCGCCTCAACATATGCATTTAGGCCACAATCATCATCTTAACCTGAGCTTATCTTATCTCCCAATATTCCAATTATTATAGAAAATCTGAATGAATAGCAGTCCTATAAAACATTCCCTTCACTCAAAGTCGTTCATAACAGTCTATCTATGAACTAAATAGGCATAGCAGATAGCCAACTTACCTAGGATAGCAGAAGTCTGGGTTCTGACAAAGCGATAATTTTACAGCAATTGAAAAACTTCACTTTTTTCATGTACTTACCATATCCACTATACAAGTAATCAATATGGAGAGGACCTCAGACATTCACATATATCTAATTCCTTTTGAAAAGATGATTACTTCGACACTTTACTACTCTTTCTGGTCAGAATTTGGATTCCATTTGATCTTTCCATCTTTTTCTAGACTGTTGTCAACTTAGAAGGTAAGCACTATTGGTTTCTCAGTTTTTTTCTTTTTCTTTCAGGGTGGGAGGGAAGGACAGGGCATCAAAAGGCTTGATAGTAAAGTACACAATCACACTGGAATTTTTAAGAGAGAAGATACAGCAATAAAATCGAAAACAGTGTGACAGGAGCAGGTAAAGTTGTCGCAGTATACAAGTATTGTTTTTACAGACTAACGAGTGCATTAATAACCTCAAGGCTAGAGAACTAGAGATGCTAAAAATCTCAGGAGCAGAGCAAAGAGGAAAAAACAAAGACATTGTATCACCATGTAAGCTCACAAGGTAGCCTAAAATTGCATTCTATTTGAACTACACTTGCAGGCTTGCAACTGTATTCATCGTAAATAAATTGCATTTTACTTGACCTGCATTTGGCAACGAAAGCTGAATATATTTATCTCATTTTCTCTATAAGAATAATCATAATTGCCTTGTCAAAATCTGAGTCAAATGAATGTTTGTATATACATACATTAGCTGAGTCTCAACCATTTTCCACTCAGAACACAACGGTCTTGTTATCCAGATATGGTAGAACGCGTAGCTCACAGTAATATTTTATTGCCTTCGAGAGGCACTGTTTCTCAAGGTTCTCTGATTTTTGTACAAAACTTCGCAAGTTATCCCTGTGAGAAACTCTCTCAACCTGCAGTTCCAAATAAATAATAACTTGTACTTTTTTAGAAACCAATCACAAATATAATATGCTCAAGTTAAGTAGGCTCAAATGGATCAGTGGAAAAATAAAAGATTATAAATACATAAATCAAAACACATACCATTTGTTCAATGATTGGTCCTGCATCAAGTTCTTCTGTTACAAAGTGAGTTGTGGCACCAATCATTTTTACTCCACAATCAAAAGCCTGCCAATATTAACAACGAAATATTAGCATGAGAAGCAAGCAAAATACCTTGCAAAGAGAGATATGACCAGAGCTATAGACGAGAAATAAACGAACCTGTCTTGATGGATTCCCACCCTTGAATGATGGCAAAAGACCATGGTGGATGTTAATGACGTCCTTTCCATACTTTTTCAAAAAATCTCCTGATAATATCTGCAAAAATAATATAATAATTAAAAACAGGGGGAACAGACAAGTGATTTTAGATACCAGAAGCAAAACAAAGCATCAGCAACACAATAATCAGAATATCAGATTATAAGAAATGAGAATCGAGCTTCCTACAACAACTGGAATCTAGAAGTAACACAAGAGCAACATGGAAAAAGGAGGTTGTCTTTGACTCTAGTAGGCCACCAATATTCAACACACTTCTTAGCAACTTCCTGGCATATCATATTTCCATATGTCATCATGAAGCAAAACTATTGAACTAATCTATTTAACTAAATCATGGTCAATTTTACAAAATAAAATTAGCCTCTAACTTCTAGTCTGCAACAAATATGATTTTGCCAGTTTGAAGTAACAGTCTAACAGACAATACACTGGTAAATTATAAACTGCAGGTATCACAGTTCTGGACTTAACTACATAAAATATATTCAATCATAACTTGTAATCTAAACCCAACATTAAGCTCTACCCTCTCCAAAGTTCAATCTCGAACTCATCATATCATTCCTTCTCCCAGCAGTAAACTTAAAGTCTCAAGATCACAATGCTTACAGAAAGTCATTAATACTAAGAAATCAAATGAATCTAAGAATGGACTTGATTACCATCTATAAAAAGGATATATACTGGCTAACACAAACAATTTGCAGTTTCACAGAAAAGAAAAAAGACTGCATACAGGAACTTGAGGTACCTGCATGTACCGAGCAAGTACAAGGAAATCTGTATCCTGAACCAAATCCAAGATCTCCTCCTCTCTTTTGTTTCCAGCGACTGGCTTCAGATAATGATAAGGAATACGCTGACGCTCAAGAAAACGCATCACATGGGAATCAGGATGTCTATCATGATTACTACAAGAAAAGGGGGAAAAAAAAAACCAAAATTTAAGTCAATGCCCACATCACCAAAAAAGAGTACAAAAGACATGGTCAGAGTATCTTCAACAATGACCTTATCACTCTAGTTATATCTACAGGCAGTTTTCCATCCTGCCATGAATGTAGCAAGTCAACAAGACAATGATCCTATCAAAAAAATGACAAAGGTTTGTAAATAAAATAAAAATCATGCCCATATCCTGATCAAGAAAAAAAGTGCAAAAAAAAATATAGTAATGAGACCTGTTTTGAAGCAAAAACTGCGATTTTGTATTTTGGATCTAAATCAGGCACACGAACAACTGATTTCATTGCATTGAACATTTCAGCAATTTTTTGGAAGTCCTCATCCATTTGCTCCCTTGGCCATTTAGAGGGATCAAAAACAAATTCACTGTAAGAGAAGAGTGCAAACATTTTTTATATTCATAGATGTGAATACCAATCCTTGATAAATTCAAAAGTTACATATGGTGCCATTGTCACTTGCTAGATAACACAATTCACATCACATTTGCGCAGCAGAACTAGATGCCTACAAGACACAATGATACCATTGCCTTTAAGGTAGGATGATGTGAAGGACAATAAAAACGAAAAGCAAAGAAACTCGTCACAGTCTCCATCATAAGTGAGAATGTGAAATAGCCTTTCAGAAAATTGCAAACACAACTATACATGATTATCTACTGATGAATGATGATAATCATCAATACACAATTTTTATCATTAAATTTTAACCTTTAAGGTGAGCAACTGATATGAAATTTGGTTTCTTTGCCTATGAAGCACAGAACATACACATAGCTTTTCCTTCAAATCCCCAAACCAATTAATCTACATAGCAAAATCAAATTTCCAATATAATAGTCAAAAAGGGTTAGTTGACTTGTTCCAATTAAAACACTCTTCATTTCTCCACCTAACTGTTTTTCTATAAATAACCTCAACACAAAACCAAACCTAGTCCCTACTCATTCGATCCCAATAGAGATGTCTCACTCATTTGGGACATTTCAGTTTCCTTTTTAGGATTAAATTAGTCTCATTTTCACATAACAATCACATCCTTCATTCAATTCATCATTCTGCACCATCCACCACATTATTAATTCAGTGAAAGTGTGATACAATTACTCGGATTGTACTCGTAACTCATAAGCAACATATAACCATCTAAATGTCACTTAAGCACTCCATTCCAATCAATATAACCTTACCCTCTATGGTTCAATCACAAATAAAGTGTACAACAACCAAAGTACATTTTTTCACAAAAACAACACTTGAAACATGATTAGCTTATTGCAGGAATATTCAAAAGGCAACATTATAATATATAGAAATATACCAAAACTAATTAAGGTAATAAAAATGAAGAAGAAAACAAAGATAAAAAGCAAAAGAAACAACCTTCTAGAATAAAAGACATGCTTCTTTTCAGGTACAAAAACATCAGCTCCCAAAATGTTTCCACCCCTTGAAGCTAAACATTCTGATAACTTTGCCACTATTCCAACTGCATCCTTTTTGTTTCCAACAAATTTACCCATTTTTCAAATTTCCCACCAAAACAACAGTGACAACATATAAAAAAAATAATTAAAAAAAACAATCTTGTATCAAATTAAGCCAAATTTAATTGAATAAAACAAATATAATAAGAAGACCTTACTGGGCAATGGAAGACATGAATGCCATGAACAAGAGGAGGATCTAGGGAGTCGGCAGTAAATTTGAAAGAATTGAAGGATCTCAGAGTAATTTTAGAAAACTGGGATTGTGAATAGATTTTTCGGAAGAATCTCATCTTTTTTATCAGTCATTCAGTTTCTCTCTCCTCTTGGTGAAGATGGGTGCCTCCCATTTTCCAGGATTTTTTTTTTTTATTTAAACTGAAATCGGGAAAAATGGTGGCCAACCACTTTCCTCTGGTAAGGATCAAAATTTTTGTAGGGTCCAAACGACAACGCTATAAATCTACGATGGGGATCAAGTTATACGACGCCGTTTGGGTGGGCTCCGTTTTCGAAAAATCATGTTTGAAGCAAAATCTTGACCCTTTTAGCAAAGGTGGTTGACTGTATCTTTACAACTATTATTAATCATAATTTTGCTTTTGAGTTATGAAATGCCAAAAATAAAAAACATATGGCTCATGAAAATATCTCCTTAAAATTTTTAATATGAGAAACTAATAAAATAAACCAATAGGATTATAAGATATACTCGTGGATATATCTGTCTATAGATGTACCCGATAACAACTAATAATTTATAGAGTCTTGTTGCAGGTTTGTAACTATAATCAGTTAATCTTTTACTTTCAAAAAATAAAAATAATGAGAGAGATCGTTATGTGCAACATGCGACCTTTATTTCAGTGGCTTTGTAATTGAGTCATTAAAATATATATTACTCATAATTTTTACTTATTTTTTGATTGACAATTTCGACACTTAAAATTTTGTTTTGCAAAGTACAAATCCATTTGTATCTATATAATCAAGACAATGTTCTCTTCACTTTAGATAATACGAAGTAAAATTTATAAGTAGTAAAAATAAGTTTTAATCAATAAAACTCAATTTCGATCTATTAACAACCTTATAAATTATAATGAGATAAATGTCTAAATCGAATACAAACACAGTCCATGGATCAACCCGATTGCCACAACCCAAAACGATCACAACCCGAAACCATTACTTTATCAAGTATCAACCCGATACCAAAACGGTAAATTAGCAATTTGGCGTTCACTTTTCCAGCCTTCCAAGGCGAGATTGTACCAGTAGTAAACTGCAAAATAAAGAGCAATTTAGGTGAAGAAGAAGAATTACTATCATCATCATCAGAACACAACTTCCAGAAATCCAGATCTCCTTGCGCATTCCAATTCTCAATAATGCCTGTAAGCTAGCTTTTTTCTAGAATCTTCTATCGTTTTTGGCATTCTTTCTTTAGCAGTAGCTAATTCAATTAGATCTCTAATTGAATTTGGGAATGGCAGGTTGGAAAATTGATAGAAGTAGAGCCACCGAGTCCATTGAGATACTTGATCGGAGCAATTGTGATGATGATCGGCGTCGTATTGCCGCTTGGTTACATGATGTTCCGCAATAAGCGTGTTCCTTCTTCTCCTTCTTTTTCCAAACAGACGTAGGTATTTTTTTCTCAGAATTTAATTGTAATTTCATATTAGTTGATATTGTTGTGATTTAGGTTTTCTTCAATTTTGTAAAACTTTGATTTTAGTTTATTGATAACTAGTGTGAAAATTGAAATTTTGGATGGTGGATTGATGTGGATTTTGGCATCTTATCAGTGATTTATATGAATTTGGTTTTGATCTTGTCATTTGTTTCGACATTGTTTTGGAGGGATTTTGAAGGGTGTGATTTGGTTGTATTTTCAGGAACAAAGGGTTGATATAGAGCAATTTTGATGTTAGAAGTGATTATAGATTTCGTCGGCATGTTCATTTGGGTATGAAGAGTGACATGAGTAAAAGGGTAATGTAATGCACTGACTGATCCATATAGTGGCAATGTAAATGTATGGTCATATGGAATTGTTAATTGTTGTTATATGAAAAGGAGATTATGAATTTTTATTCAGATGTGTTCATTGCACAATATCATTGTATTGCCGTCTTACAATTTTTTGTAGCTTAATTCGAATTCAGTTATGTGGAATCTTAGATCAATGTTGCTGCACACCTCATGATTCCATTCACTTTGGGTCTTGAAATTCCAGCTTGAAATTTTCTTAAGTAGGTGAACACTGAACCTCTTCTAATCTATCTGGAACTTGAGATGGCATTTGATGCGAACTGTGGAGATTTTCCAAGTTATTATTTTCCTTTCCCCTTCATAATACAGTCCAGAGACTTGTCTTTCAAAAACTAGTTTAGAGTTGCATTTTGAAACTTAAGCGTAACCTAACTTCCCTTGTTTGTATCTAGTTATCCATATGAACAATTCTAGTGTTTAGTGGCTTAGAAAAGTGGTTGGCTTATGGCCAGATCGGCAGACTGTTGCCGTGTTGGGTTTTAAAAGCTGGTTGCCTTGGCAGTATGGTGGTGCAAGTGAGAGTAAATGTGCAGATTTTTTATGAAGTTTCTTCCCTTGGGTGGTTCAATTCCTTAGTATTTAGGGTCTCTATTTTGCAAGTCTAAGTGAATTATAGTGAGCAGCATACTTGACTCCCTAGGATTGGGGTTAGGGTCAGTGTGTGGGTTATGGTAAATGGTGCCACTTCTGTACTTGGTTTCTTGTTAACATTATTACTACCTGTTGCCTATGCCGGTAATGCCCTATGCTGAGAGAAATGTGTTGATAATTCTGTTAGGGGGGTCCTTCAAATTAAAATTTATAGAGAATCTCCAACGACAAGCTAATTGCCAAATTAACTTTTAAATTTGTCATGCCATATGAGATTTCAAGCTATTTTCCTTGCTAGCTAGTTTTTATCCCTATGGTCAGCTACTAGCTTGCTATTTAAATAGATCTCACTTGTCAATAGGTTGGCTTCTTCTTCCTCTTTTTGTCAAGCAAATTAGCTTGCCCAAGCTAGTTTTTCATTTCAACTCCAATGGTTAAGCTAGTAGCTTGGGGCTTTGTAAAATACAAGCAAGTCCTTAACAACAACCATTGGAGATACTCTGACTTTGCTAGAATTTCATGAATCTTTCATTTTGTTCTATAAGGCAACAGGTATACAGGGCCTATCACCTATGGCTTATTCACCATATTCGTAAATTTCTCCTCATTGATTTTTCATGATGCTTGTTCAAATAAAGCACAGCTTCTGTCAATTATCATAACTGGGAATTCCTATTTGTGACAGCAATGAGTAGTTCCACTCTTTTTCATTAGGTAATTCCTGTGATCATATTTCTATTTCAATCAATAGAGAAGAATGGCTTACCCTGAAGGTAAGCTATCTGATTCATGCAGCTCCTGCTGTTCTGTTATGAGAAGGTTTGACATATCTCAGAGTATACTTGCGGGAAATTGACCCAAAATACCCCTACCCCTCTATTTGGCCTGGAAAGACTAAATATATCCTCACTCGGAGATCTGTATATATGACTATGCCTTTACTTGCAGGTTGGAACACATATTAATCTCCTGATGTGTCAATAATTTACTTATTTTGCTTAGTACTCCGTATCCTTCTCTTTTGTTCATTGCTAATGTGATAATGCGTCATTTGTAAATTGGTGATGTTGATGAGTTGATGACTATTTTTTGCATCTTCTTCCTTGTTGACTGGTAAAACAGTGTACAAGGCTTACAATATGTCAAATATACATATAATGGCGTTCAATCATCATAAAGGTTGGTAGGAAATTTTTTTCACAGTGACACTCAGATTGAATGCAGATCTCCCACCTTCTACGAAAGAGGCAGTAAAGAAATTTGCTTATCATAATCCAAAGTCGGAATTTGCTGATCTGCTAGTGACCATTTTATCAGTACCGGGGATCCGCAGCTCTTGCTAACTTTCTGTAAAATTACTTAGCAATGGTTACATCATAAAAATATCATATGAATATGATTGATTGATTTTCCTTTTATTACAAACAAGGGTTGCTATAATTTGAGAAGAAGTTATTTTATAAATCCACCTCGTTCTGTTTATTGGATTTTAGCCATAAAGATTATGCATTTTTACATGATACAAGTATACACGATGCATGTTATTGTATCTGGTACTAACAATCTGTTGACAAGAAAACCCTATTAGTAGCCCAGACATAATTTAATGCAGAGGAATCATGCAAGTACTCATTACTGTGGTAGACAGATGGAAATGGAGACATGAGATGAATTGGAATGCGCTCTACAGTCTACACCTGATCAATCAACTGAAGAATAACTTTGTGATCAGATGCTCTACGCCTTAAAGAAAAGAGAGCAAATCTTCATATAGTATTATACTCTACATAATATGGACCGATAAGCCTCAATATAGGTGTTTAGTGTATAATATAAGCCCTCTTTACAATTAGGCAATCAATTGAATTTCACATAAAACCATACATTATATTCTAAGTTGGGACTATATGCGTATATATTTGTTAGTAATGGCTCTCTCAATAGTTGCAATGGGCAAAACTTCTATGATATCTTCTGTCACCTAAAAAAATTTGTGTGCTCCTACACGTTCCATTATATTGCCTCATACTTTTTTCTGTGAATCATTCCATCTCCCAAGGGCTTCTCCCACATGGATTCTATCACCACGTTTGATGTTGAATCGGAAGTCTGTTGATGGTGTGTTGTCTTTTGTTGATTTGGCTACCGGAGCCTGAAAGACAAGTACCACTGTTGACCCCATGTTGAAAGCTGCAACCTGAATTATTTTGATAATGTAACGAAATTATCAAGACTATACTAGCAAACAGATCCCAAAAACATAGGAGACTTGAGGCTAACAGTCATCACTCATCAGCAGTCATACAAAAACTCAACAAATGAAATGAAACACCATCAAAACATAGAATCGAATGATAATATAATTAAGACCATTAACCTCTAAATATCAAGAAAATCTGTAAGGGTAAAGTAATTTTGAAGAGAGATTTGATTTCATTTCTAACCTCTTCTCCTTTCTTAACCATACAGCCAACACCTTCTCGTTCATAAACGCGCTCCTCAGGTGGCTCTGACTGTAAAATCTTCTTTCTAGGACGATTTGTCCGCAGCTCTGGCTCAGTGTAAAGCTGATGTGCAAGGAAGTAAATCATGTTAAGAATTGACAATTTAAAAAGTCAATAAAAAGTCTGAAATTTGCAGAAGTTGGATAAGCTATTGCTATTAAGTACACAGCTTGCTTCCGGTCATCAAGGCTTCAAAAAGGTCAGTATTTTTTACATAAAGGGTGGTCTTACAACTCTTACCAATAGCACGTACCATTTTATAAGAAAACAAATCAAGCAACACAAAGCAAAGGGCACCGAATTAAATACAAAAAATTAAATCTCTAGCATAAAACAATTAGAGATAGAGATAAGATTACCTCAATAGAACCAATGTTTGTAGCACCTATTGCTGCAAGTGCTAGATACCCTTGTTGCCACTGACCTTCCAGCACAATCTGGTTTAGACGAATAATAAACAGAGAAAACCTCATTAACAAAAATGTGAAAAGATCATGTACAAATTCTAAAAACATATATTATCTAGCTTCTTAGTGTACAAAATCATGTTTGCAGCTGCAGTGCTTCCACTGATGTCAAAATCCCAGACCCATCACTCATGATATTAGGAGCTGAAAAGCATTTTAGTGGCTGACTAGGGATGTGGTGTAAAAGACTAGTGGCCTGCATATGACTCCTATGGGACTTCAAGAGAAATTAATCTCGTAAGCATTGTGGTAAAATGAGCAATTTGCTTGTGGTATTAGACTTTCAACCACATGCAGACTGTAGAAGGTGTTACTATGTCTAACATTGACTGTATGTTGACTTTTAGCTAGTTTTCACCCACCACAAATAACAGAAAAAAGAAACTAGTGGTCATTCCTAGTGCCAATGATGACCATTATAAAAGCAGATTAGCCCAGTTTGACACTTACAGTAAGAAAATTCCTCCTTAATCGTCAAATGATTCTGCTGAGTGCATTTTCTAGTCTTTCTACAGCTATGAAAGTTATGAAATTAAGAAGTTTGCGTACCCTTTCATTCTCGACATATAGGTTTCTGATTGTCCTAGTAGCACGCTCATTCACAGGATAAAGGCGACCTGCAACAATAAAAATGACAATCTTATAATTAAAACCACCAAATAAGGAAGGTGATAGCTGAAGTAAATTTTAAAAACAAATAGCAACAGCAGAAAATGCATAACACCGGGAAGTTAGCCTTGCTCGAGTCAGTTTACTTTGGCTAAGTGTTTCAGCCAGTAAATTTATAAGCATTCAACCAGCAAGGTGCAATACAGAAATTAAGATGAAGGATTAATAAATGTTTATGGTAAAACACAGCAGCTTAACATCCTAAGAAGACAAAATATGAGCATGTAGCTTAATCTTTCAATTCAAGCTATTGCTTGCCAAAAGGCAACCTAAATTGAGAGCATAACTAGGCCAGCCAGAATGACAAGAAATTTATACTATCAACTGATAGTATCATAAAGATTACATAGGAAATAACAACATTCTGTTTCAAGAAGCTGAAATTGGCTATCCAAACCACGACTATCTAAATTATTCCTCTCCGTACAGCAAATTGTGCTAGATAGAGCTTTCCCTACAAACAAATTGAATTTTTGAGTCACCTGAAAAATGTCTGCGGACAAGAACATTCCAGTCAACAGGTGAATGTATACGATGGTAGTCTCCAGGGCTTAGGTACAAGACACAATAAAAAAGACCTTTAATTGGACTGCAAAATAAATCATAATTATTAGCAGATGTGACAATTTATGTATATGTGACTATGTGTACTTGTAAAAGGAATGAAACATAGCAGGCACACATCAATGATGAAAAATTATAAGACCAAATACCTGCATAAAGTAATAACTACAGTATCAACAATGCAATGGAAGCAAATCAAAGGTCAAAATATGGCCCGTGCATGGGCAACAATCAGAACACAGAATAAGAACAAAATAAGAGCAATTACCAAGAGTAATGTCAAGGTGTAGAAGATATCAAGATAATACTGAACAAATTCTTTGAAGCATCAAA